GAATTGGATGGATAATTTGAATGAGTATCCATATAAATTACCCATTCTGCCATTCCTAATTATGAGTAAATATATATGGTTGTATGTGTACCTCATATATGGGTTTTTCTTTCAAGTCTTACTAGAGATATGATTCCAAGATTATTTTTTAAAATTCTTAGGAAGGAAAATATTTTATGTGTTCAGTTGGTCAAAATATTCTGATACGTGTGTGATCTTTTTTTTATTACAAAAAGGTGTGATTTTGGCTCTTATTCTTTACTAGAACCAGTAATTACATTAATAGTTGAGGAAATATTCAATGTCTTTAAATAGTTTTATATTAAAAATGGTTGAAGAGTGTTGAATCAAAAACATACAATAAACGTCTTTATTATGGACGCTTTATCCTGTCTTCACTTTATATTAAATAAAATTAGAACCTTACAAATATATGAAATATTTCCAAATTTTATATCCGCATGAATGATGTCCAAAGTATTAGATCTTCTTGAAAAGGCAACATGAACAATATATGTTGAATCATAATCTCAAAAAAAAAAAAACATATTAAATAAATATTGAAGTAAGAAAAAACATCAAAATGGAATTTTTTACATCTATTTATTTTCTCACAGCAATAGGAATTCTAACAAAATGCTTGCCATCACTCCATGCCAAACTTCCAAAATTAAAATTACTCTTTCTTTGGTAAGTTGATATTATTTCAACCTCAAAGGAAATCTTCTTTGTGTTGGAATTGAACTTCAACACAGTTGGATTTACTTTAATCGTGGTATTTTTTAGAGATTTAACCACCAATTTATATATCGAGTTGACATCTCCAACGTTTGTAACAGTTCTCCTAACAATAATCGAATTCTTAAGATTTGGAATCGATATTGAAGGAAGATTCAAATCCAACCTAGAAGGTAAGGACATATAGTCGAATTTTTCATATCGAAAAAATACAAAGTTGCATTTTGAACCATATCATTTTTATAGCCCAAGGTGCAAGATAATTCAAATAATCATTTTTATCCATATCATATATTAAGCCAGGATCCATTGCTCCATTTGGATTACTAATGCCACCTCCAAAATCAAATGGATTAGTAAGGTTGTTTGTTCCTTAGCTTCTGAATAGATTTCAGATGTATATGTATCCTCGTTCCATGCTACACAATTTAAATTGATAAATATTAGGTAATTATAAATTACAAGATTAAAGTGATCAATAACAAATAGGTATTTATCTATAAGACTAAATAAATATTTTCCATCCCATTCCACTGTAAACATAAAAAAACATTAAAATCATAAATATTGTGAATTTTATTAGGGATAGTTTATCCATACAAAACTATTGTTAAAATTCTTGAAACGAGGATAAAACTTTCACGAAATTATGTCTATATAAGATAATTTTAAACACATAAAAAAAAACAACAATTGTAAAAATTAAAATACTTAGGAATCATTGAAAACTAAATTCATGGCCCCACGAGCATCCAAGCTGAGTCCTTGGAGTCGACTAACATTAGTAAAAAACATTAGTATCAGGACTAATGCTTTTGACTAGCATTAGTATCCCCGATTCGATCTTCAGAGGGGTGTCCAAATGGATAAGCATTGTTATCTAGGGTAAAACTCTCAATTTGTTGTTTCAGCACCATACATTGTACAAAGTTCATTAGCCTTTTTCAAGAGATTAGTGCGACGCTTTGGCAAAATGACTTTTAAGAGCCTTCCATTCAACATCCTTTCATTAAGAATTTTCATTATGTCAATTCTCTTCCGACCGGTACTTTTTCTTGGCATGTTTAAACTCTTTGATATAAAATACTAAGATAAGATGTGATTTTGGTCTCAACATAAGAATTATTTATAGTGAGAAAATATTATCTTAATGTTTTGCATAGTCAAAGATATTCATATTTACTCCTTTTTTATAAGGGTTTGACTTTGATCATAAAATACAATCAGATTTCATTCTTTCTATCATTGTATTACTTAGAAATATGTATTGACTTGCATTTAGACCACCATTTATTTATCAAATAAGAACAAGTTGAGAAAAGTAATGAATATACAAATTGGGAAAAGTAATGAATAAGTTACCTTTTATGCAGGGTGGGAGCGGAGAAATTAGATTTATTGTGTATTTCTTTCATGGTAGAAGTTTTAGTAAGTTCACATATAAAATAAATAAAAATTCAATAAACCTTTCTTTTATGATAAAATTTTAGAACCTCACATATAAAATAATAGAGATTTATTTGGTATACGTGGTTGATTATGATTCGTCCACATCATTAATTGAATCATTTTTTTTAAAAAGGAAAAAGGTTCAAATATGTCATCGAACTTTAAGAAAAGATTCATCTATGCCATCCGCCAAAAGTTTGGCTCATTTATGCCATTTCAGTTAACAAATAATGACATGGATATGCCTTTTCTCAAACGGAAATGGAATAGATGAACCAAACATTTAACAAATGACATAAATGAGTCTTTTCTCAAAGTTCGATGACATATTTGAGCCTTTGATGAGTAACTTTGTAACATCTCGCTATTTGAAAGAATTAGAAAGAGTTAGAATTGGAAAGAGTCATTTTAGGAAAGAATGAAAAATTTGAAAATTTGGTATAGTTAAGTTAAGTTTGAGTTTTTGGTCAACTTCAAATGACCATATATAACTCCTAGATTCGGATGATTTAGGAGTTCTTCCAAGGAAAGATCTTGGAATTATCTTTCCAACGCCGTTGAGTTTGCGCGATTCTGAGTTCGTATGAGTGAGATATGTCTATTTGAAGTTGGGCTGTTCAAATAAGAAAAGTCTAATCCGGATTTTGATAGGGTAGTTTGGTCTTTTCCTTACCCAATTATTTTATTTTTGTTTTAGGGGTTTAATTGGGATCTAATCAGAATTACATCAGTTTAGAAAATTAGAAAATTCACGCTAGGGTTTGGAGAAAGGAGAAAAGAGGAGAAAAGAAGAAGAAAAGTCAAGATTCGTCGATTTCTTGGAGAATTGCGTGTGGATTTCGCCAAGAGTTAATCCCTACGAGGTATGTGAGATCACATAGCTTTGGGTTAGTTCACCCACGCGCCAATCATGATTCAATTCAGCGAAGTTGTATTGTTTTGAAAGCAAATCTTATGAGTTATTGATGATAATTCGTTTGAAATCTTGTGGGTTCTTGTTGTTGAAGTTTCTTGAGATTGATTCATGAATTTAGGTGTGTTTTCGAGTAGAATCTTGTGTATTTTGAACATAAAGTTGATTCTAAGTGTTTGAGAAAAGAACTAAGTGAAATTAGAGGATTTAGAGTTGAAAAACGAAGGAGGAATTTCGTCGAAAATCTGGGGAAGGGGCTGGGGCGCCGCGCCAGCCAGAGCGCCCCAAGTCATTCTCTGAAATTTCAAGGTTGGCGCTCCGCACCACTCAGAGCGCCAGGGATGCTAGTTCTCTTAATTCCCCCCCTTCTTTCCGTACTAATTCGTTAGCATCGTACCTATGTTTCCTAGTCGATTTCTATACTCTAAGGTATGTCTAAACATCATGAAATCATCATTAATTAACATGAGATCATGAGCCTTGAATCCATACTTCAATTCAAGGAAAGTTAAGAGTCAAGTCAAAAGGTTAAAAATTAAGTCAGAGAAGTTCATAAATTTCTCCAAAAGTTTTTCACAAACATTTTAACTTTGTTTTAAGACTTAAACTTTGAGTTGAGTAAAGAGTAAGAGTAAAGTTCATTTCTTCAAAGATTATTCGGGAACTAAGTATTCTTAAGAGTTAAAATGTTTTCACATTTGAGCACGAAAGGAAACACCAATTTCCAAGAGAGGTTTTAAGCTAAGTTTTGAGTAATTATCTCAAACCAAAGAAAGAGGTTTGTTTAAAAACATATGAGCTGAGTATATTTTGGGAGTAGTATTGAACACCGATATGGGGACGCGAGTTCATAATAACTCAAGTCTCTATAAACCATGTAGCCATCATGGGTAGAAAATGATTATACTTTTTAGATGATTCCTTAAGTGCATTTTTCGCATAGACTACTGGATCCACTTAGTTAAGGCGTTCTATATGACAACAAAGTATAGGACAGTTCTGGCAGCGTGGGCAAGACACTGTATCATCACTTAGGCTCATAATGGTGGTTGTCGGTTAGAGAAACTCCCATAGTATTATATTACTTTACATGTAAACTGAATTGTTATTGCATTTCTTAACAAATTGAGTTGCTACTACTGTTTTAAATGCTTTGTATAACTGTACCATTATTTTTGTTTTACTTTGCATTTGAGTTGAGTTATTCATGAGTTGAGTAAAGCCAAGGTAAACGTTCTTTTCAGATTTCTTTCAAGCTTATATCTGTTTAGTATTCCCCTCGCATACTCGTACATTCAATGTACTGATGCCATTTGTCCTGCATCATTTTATAATGTAGACACAGGTAACCAGGATCAGCATCCAGTGCCTCGTTGATCTAGTTGAGTACTCATAGTCAGTTGGTGAGCCTCCTTACTTTAGAGGCTTCATAGATAGTTAGTAATTCAGTTGTCTTTACATTGTTATTTCTTATGTTAAGACTTGAGTTGCCATCTATGGCTAGTTGAAATTTTTATCCTTAAACGTTTTGAGTTTAATTTGATACAGTTGTAAGTGCATTTGATCATTGTAATAAGCTTAGAGTCTTCCGCTAAGAGTCTAACGAGGCTAAGGGTTCGCTTGGGGCAAAAAATAGTTCTTGAGTGCCAGTCCCGCCCATGGTGTAGGCTCGGGGAGTGACAAACTTGGTATCAGAGCACAGAGTTCAAGAGTCCTAGGGAGTCTATGAAGCTGTGTCTATAGAGTCCTAGTTATCAGTGTGAAGCGCGCCACATCTATAATTAGAAGGCTGCAACACTTTGGAAATTACCTCACTTCTTTCACACTTATTTCATGTGTTAGAGTTTGATCTCTAAAAAGTTTCTTCTAATTTGTGCTTGTGCGTGTCTTTTAGTTAATCATGCCTCCACGAAGAGCTGGCCGAGGTCGTCCTGCTAGGAGGAACGTTGAGGAGAAAGGGGTACCTAATGCACGTGAAGTGCAACCCCAAGGAGAAGTAACGAATGCTGAGTTCAGGGAAGCAATTCGAATGTTAAGCCAATTTGTGACTAACCAGGTTGGGCAGCAAAGAGGAGCTAGACATGAAGTAACTGATACTTCGAGGATTCGAGAGTTCTTGAGGATGAATCCTCCAAGTTTCACTGGTTCAAGAACTACTAATGATCCGGAGAATTTTGTTGAGGAATTGTAAAAGGTATTTGAGGTTATGTATGTTGCCGATGCTGAACGAGTAGAAGTAGATGCATATCAACTGAATAATATTGCTAGGACTTGGTTTGACTAGTGGAAGAAGGGTAGAGCTGAGGGAGCACCACCTGGTAGTTGGGTTTGTTTTAAGGAGGGCTTCTTGTGGCGTTTCTTTCCCCGAGAACTGAGAGAGGCAAAGGTACGAGAGTTTCTCACCCTTAAGCAGGACTCACTAAGTTTTCATGAGTACAGCTTGAAGTTCACCCAACTTTCCCGATATGCTCCGAAGATGGTTGCAGATATGAGAAGCAGGATGAGTCTTTTTGTTGCTGGGTTGTCCCATCTATCAAGCAAAGAGGGAAAGGTAACCATGCTAATTGGGGACATGGTTATCACCAGGTTGATGGTCTATGTGCAGCAGGTTGAGGAATAAAAGCTGAGGGATAAAGAGGATTTTAGAAACAAGAAAACGAAGACAGGGAATGAGTTCGGGTAATAAAGAAATAATGTGAACCGGTCTTCTTTCTAACAAAAGCAAAAACGACCTGCTCCATCATCTGCTAGTGTTCCTACACCCAGAAACAAATGTGAGTACAATAGTTAGAATTCACAGCACTTCAGAGCTAGACCTGCACAGTGTCAGGGTAGTGTGGCACAAGAAGGTAACTGGGATCCTGTATGTGCTAAGTGTGGTAAAACCCACCCAAGTATATGTCGCGATGGCTCCACATATTGTTTCAAGTGTGGACAAGATGGCCATTTCATGAAAGAGTGCCCTAAGAACCGGCAAGGTAATGGAAATCAGGGCAATAAAGCCCAATCTTCATTAGTTGCTCCACCAGACAGGGCTGCACCTAAAGGATCTACTTCTGGTACTGGCAGAGGAGCAATCTGCCTTTATGCAATCACTAGTCGTCAAGAGTAAGAGAATTCTCCAAATGTTGTCACTGGTATGATCAAAGTCTTTACTCTTGATGTTTATGCTTTGATAAACCTAGGAGCAAGTTTATCTTTTGTGACTCCTTATGTTGCAAATAATTTTGATGTTATTCCTGATAAACTTTGTGAACCCTTTTGTGTTTCTACACCTGTTGGGTAGTCTATTCTAGCTGAGCGAGTATATCGTGATTGTGTCATTTCCATCAATCACAATAACACCATGGCTGATTTAGTTAAGTAAGACATGGTAGATTTCGATGTCATTCTTGGTATGGACTGGCTTCATGCTTGTTATGCCTCCATTGATTGTAGAACTCGAGTTGTTAGGTTCCAAATTCCTAATGAGCCAGTTATAGAGTGGAGTAACAGTTCAACAGTGCCTAAGGGTCGTTTCATTTCATACCTTAAGGCGAGAAAGTTAGTTTCCAAGGGTTGTGTCTATCACTTAGTTCCGAGTTAATGACTCTAGTGTTGAGATACCACCTATTCAGTTAGTTTCAGTAGTAAAAGTGTTTCCAGAAGTCTTTCATGATGATCTTCCCGGAGTCTATCCTGAGAGAGAAATAGACTTCAATATAGACATTCTTCTAGATACTCGTCCTATATCTATTCCGCCATATAAAATGGCTCCAACAGAGTTAAAAGAGCTTAAAGAGTAGTTGAAAGATCTCATTGATAAGGGTTTTATTCGACCAAGTGTCTCACCTTGGGACGCTCCGGTCTTGTTTGTGAGGAAGAAGGATGGTTCCGTTAAGATGTGTATAGACTACCACCAATTGAACAAGGTTACCATCAAGAATACGTACCCTCTTCTGAGAATTGATGATCTCTTCGATCAACTCAGGGTGCTACTTGTTTCTTTAAGATAGCCCTCAGATCAGGCTACCATCAGTTGAGGGTAAGGGAATGCGATATTCCAAAGAAAACATTCAAGACCCGTTATGGTCATTATGAATTCCAAGTTATGTCCTTTGGTTTGACCAATGCACCTGCAGCGTTCATGGACCTTATGACTAGAGTATTTAAACCTTATTTAGATATGTTTGTTATCGTATTCATTGATGACATACTAATCTATTCGAAGAATGAAGAAGATCATGTTAGTCATCTCAGAATAGTTCTCCAAACTCTAAAGGATAGAGAGTTGTATGCCAAATTCCCTAAGTGTGGTTTTGGCTTGAGTGTGTGGTATTCTTAGGCCATATTGTGTCTGGAGAGGGAATTAAAGTTGATACCCAAAAAATAGAGGCAATGCAGAATTGGCCTAGACCCACATCTCCAACTGATATTAGGAGTTTCTTCGGGTTGGATGGATATTATAGAAGGTTTGTAGAGGGGTTCTCACCTATTTCATCCCCTTTGACCAAGTTAAGTCAGAAAAGAGTGAAATTTCAATGGTCTGAAGCTTGTGAAAAAAGCTTTTGGGAAGTGAAAAAGAGGTTGACTACTGCCCCAGTATTGATCTTACTAGAAGGTATGCAAGATTTTGTTGTGTATTGTGATGCGTCTAGAATTTGTTTGGGTTGTGTGTTAATGCAGAATGGCAAGGTTATAGCTTATGCCTCTAGATAGTTAAAAGTTCATGAGAAGAACTACCCAACACCCACGATCTAGAGTTGGCTGCCGTAGTATTTGCTTTGAAAATATGGCACTATTACCTTTATGGTGTTCATGTGGATGTGTTCACCGATCACAAGAGTCTTCAGTATGTGTTTACTCATAAAGAGCTTAATCTCAAACAAAGAAGGTGGTAAGAATTATTCAAGGATTATGACATGAGTATTCTTTACCACCTAGGTAAGGCTAATGTTGTTGCTGATGCCTTGAGCAGGTTGTCTATGGTAGTACCGCCCATTTTGAGGAATATAAGAATGAGCTAGCAAGAGATGTGCATAGACTTGCATGATTGGGAGTTCAACTAATGGATTCCAGAGAACGAGGAGTAGTGGTGATGAATGGGGCTGAATCATCATTAGTGTCAGAAGTAAAAGAGAAGTAAGACCATGATCCTATTTTGCTTGAATTGAAGGCAAATGTTCATAAGCAATTTTTTTTAGCTTTTGAACATGGGGGAGATGGCTTATTAAGGTATCAATGTAGGTTGTGTACCAAGGGTAGATGAACTCCAAGAGAGGATCATGGAGGAAGCTCATAGCTCCAGATATTCCATTCATCCGAGTTCCACAAAAATGTACTGTGACTTGAGAGAAGTTTATTGGTGGAGTAGTATGAAGAGGGCATTGCAGAATTTGTTGCTAAGTGTCCGAATTGCCAACAAGTTAAAGTAGAGCACCACTGGCCTAGTGGTATGACTCATAATATAGAACTTTCAGAATGGAAATGGGAGATGATCAATATGGACTTCATTACAGGTTTACCAAGGTCTCGCAGGCAGCATGATTCTATTTAGGTGATTTTGGATTGAATGACCAAATCAACCCACTTTTTGCCGTCAAAGACTACCCATACAACAGAGGATTATGCTAAGTTGTATATTCAAGAGGTAGTTAGACTTCGTGGGGTGCCAGTTTTGATTATTTCAGATAGAGGTGCCTAATTTACTGCACAGCTCTGGAAATCTTTTCAGAAAGGCTTGGGTTCAAAGGTGAGCTTAAGTACTGCTTTCCATCCTCAGACAAATAGTTAAGTAGAGCGCACAATTTAGACCTTATAGGATATGTTGAGGGCTTTTGTGATTGATTTATGATGAGTCGATAAATTTGACTCATTTAGGGCTATATTTTAATAGATATTGTGTCCTCAAATGTTTATTTTATCTCAATATATGATAAAAACCCTTAGATTTCAGTATTTGAAGTGTTAAGGAAAGCATGGACACTACGTCGCAAAAAGGAACGAAAAAGCTGAAAAAATGAAGAAATGAAAGACTTGAGGATCACCAACTCCACTTGGTGAGTCGCCGAAGGGTCTTACTTCGCCTTTTGTTCCAGTGTGCTGAGCCTTGAAGGAAAGGATCAAGTCGGCGGAAAAAAGGAGCAGTCGGCGCATCGCCGAGAAGTTCCGCAAAACAGTACCATGTCACCCAATGACCAAGAGCATGACGATGCTGAAGGCTGGTGCAAAACGGCGTTGAATTACACCAAAGAGCGAATCGCCGAGTTGATCGGCGATTCCGACTAACTACGCCGAATGATCCGCTGCAACACAAATTTGTGAAAACTATAAATACTAGTTAGATGTGTAGTTTTAGGTGTGGAACAATTATTATAATTTTCATATAAAATAGTACTTTTTGATATTTTTGCTCTAAGTTTGAGAGGGTTTTGAAGACTTGAAGATCCAGGGTGTTCCATCTTCAAAATTTGGATTTGGGAATCTTGGATTCTTAAATTTTGGCCTGTATCAAGAATTAAATCTTCATACCCAGTTGAATGCGAGCTCAATTTGGTATAAATTTCTATCTTTTATACATGTGTGGCTAAAACCCCTAATTCTTGGGTTGTGATTTAACGAATATGGGTTAAGATAATTGTTGGGTCTTGCTTGCTGTTAGTTTAATCGTAGTTTAATTGTGATTTCGTTTAGTAGTTGTGGATGAATTTAATGAATTTGTAGTTGCAAATACACGTTTATTTATGTGTTTTCGGCTTGCCCTAGAGCGAGGTCGTAAAACTAAAACTACTAAATTGACGGTCGGTGGGAGTGGGTCTACATAAGGTTCAGCTCGAGAGAGTGAATCGTAGTCTTATTCCCACACACTCAGCTCGAGAAAGTGAGTGGGTGAAGGCGTAGGCTGGTCTTCATGCAGCAAGTGGGTGTCCAAGAGGAACACATTTGAAACAGGGTAAGTTGCTTGAGAGAGAGAGAGCTTATCCCACTTAAAGCTTAGCCTAGTCACAATTATTCTATGAATCTTCTATCGAAAGCATATACCCAATAATCTAGCTTAACCTGTATTCCCGTCACGTCCCAATGATCCCCTCTCATTACTTAGAAATCCTTGTTTATTTTGCTGTTTTTACTTACTTGTGACAAAACCCCCCATTGTTGATTGACACTCTTGTGTCTTCCTTTAATTTATAATATTTTTAATCGTTAATGTCTTTAGCTACGACTAGTTAGAACTAAATTTTATTTTTCTATTAATTCTCAAAACCACTCCCTTGAGAACGATCCCAACCCTTGGTTGGGTTACTAAGTTATTGTACGATCATAGACACTTACATCGGAAGTTGTGTCTTGATTACACAAACATCAAAATGGCGCCGCAGCTAGGGAGTGGAGTTATTTGAGAATTCTTAGATTATTAGAATTTTTGTTCTTATTAGTCGTAGTCTACATACTTAATTTTCAGTTTTGTTTTTAGTGTTTGTGTGTTTCAACACACATATGAGTGTGAATGGCGAAAATAGCTGCCAAGGAGGCCATCCAACAGGTTATGCTTTTCATCTATACGATATTGATGATATTAATAGTGTGTACAACCCTGCCCAAGTGGGTGATGGGTGCAATTTGCATGTCACAAGCAGGTGGAAGTGCAACAGTTGAAGTTACTAGCACAACACTCCATCTCATACATTCAAGTGGTTTATACGGAGGGTTAGAGCATGAAGATTCATATGAGCATATACGAAGCTTCATAGAAGTGTGTACCCCTCTGTCAGTCAATAATCTACCGCAACAGTTCATACGGCTTCGCTTATTTCCATTATCATTGATCAGGGGAACCACTAACTGGTTGGTCGAGCTTCCAAAGAACTCCATCAAGTCATGGGAGGAGTTGGTTACGACTTTTCATGAAAGATTCTTCTCTCCATCAAAGATGATGAACTGAGAGACGACATTCAAAATTTTAATCAAAAGGAGGGCGAACCAATTCACGAATCATGGACAAGATTTAAGAGATTTTTGCGAAAATGTCCAACGCATGGACTGCCGAGTGAGTTATTGCTCCAATACTTTTACCGTAGTCTGGATTCGATTAATAAAAGGATAGCTGATGAGCTGGTGCAAAAAGGAATAATGTTACGATCATTTGAAGTATCCTGATTCCTCCTAGATGGCATGACTAGAGTAAATCAAGCATGGTACACAAAAGATGACCAAGTTTTCCCACTGTGTTTCAAATTAACGCAAGAACAACTCGATAAAGAAAGGGAGAGGGATGAAAACATCAAAAAGATGTTGTCTCAAATGGAAGTGATACAAGAGCACATGAAGGGGACGTATGGATTATTTCGAGTTGAAGAGGGTTTTTTATCTGATTTCTTAAGACCGGGGGATAATAAAGGTTGGAACTCCACAAGATACGAGGAGGGTTTCCACTCGCGCTATCAACAGCAGGGCAAAAATCAAGGTTGGAACCATCATAGGAGAGAAGAACCAAGGAGATATTGCCACGATTGGGCTGAGCAAGATGACCATGAGGAAGACCATACATAATTGAGTGAAAGCCCGAAATCAAAAGGGAGTGCAAGTAGTCCTCGGGTAAATAATCTATTGTCACGCATACTTGATAAAGTTGAGGGCTCTGATGATTTGCTAAAAGGGATGAGATATGACTTTTCATCATTAAATAGTAAAGTGAATTCTCATGCTGATGTCATGAAAATGCTAAAAGGTCAATTGAGTCTATTATCAGCTCAATTAACATCCAGGACACTGATGAAAGATAATAGAAGAGGGCTGGCTGTAGTTACCCGTAGTGGAAAGATGGCAAAAAGGAATGTGATGGAGGATGAGGAACCTCGAATGCAGGAAGAGAGCCGGGTATAGAGGAACAAGAATTGCCTATTCAACAAAACCTTGCCAAAGAACCACAAGAGGATGTAGAGCAACATGTTCAAGTTCCAAAAGGCACGCACCTTTTGTCCAAAATACCTCCACTATTTCCTCAACGTTTGAAAAAGAAGAATGAAGATGAGAAGTTCAAAAAATTCTTGTCAGTATTCAAGAACTTATCAATTAACCTTCCTCTGGTGGAAGCATTGTTGGAAATGCTGGGATACGCTAAATTCATGAAAGAGCTGGTTACAAAGAAGAGGAGCTTGGAATATGAAACGATTGAGGTGCCCCATAGTTGTAGTGCAATTATGACAAATGAGTCAATCATTAAGAGATAAGATGCTGGGGCATTCACAATCCCGTGCACAAATGGCATGCTCCAATTCGCTAAAGCTTTGTGCAATTTAGAAGCAAACATTAACTTGATGCCCTATGCAATATACAAGCAACTTGATTTGGGTGAACCAAAGGTAACCACAATGAGACTCCTTATGGCTGATCGATCAATCAAGCATCCAGTGGGGATACTCTATGACATATTGGTAAAAGTAGATCGGTTCATCTTTCTGGCTGATTTTGTGATTCTAGATTGTGAGATCGATGCTGAAATCCCGATTATTTTGGGAAGGCCATTCTTAGCTACCGGGAGAGCATTGGTGTATGTCAAAAGTGCGAAATTGAAGTTTCGTGTGAACGATGATGAGGTGACCTTCAATATCTATAAATCCGTGAAGCAACTGAGTTATATCCATGTGGTGTCTACTGAGGATGTTATATATGAGGAAGTGGCCAGTGTGAGCCATTTAATACGCAAGAGTGAACCCCTTGAATATGTACTTGCCAATTATGATGAATCCGAAGTTCAAGGCTATGAGGAAATGGTACCTGCCTTATCAGGGTTAGGAGTATATTCAAGGAATCTAATCAAGTTGGATATCGACTTGAAAACCAGAGAAATTCCTCCTGCAAAGCCATCATCAGAAGAACCACCGAATCTGGAGTTAAAAGCCCTACCCTTTCTTCTCAAATATTCCTTCTTAGGAGCCAATAATACTTTAACAGTGATTATCTCAGCCGATTTGCTTGAAAGGCAGGTGAAATTACTTATTGAAGTACTGCGGAAGCTTATAAAAGCTATTGGATGGACAATAGACGATCTAGTTGGAATTCCTCCTGGCATCTGTACTCACAAGATTCGACTCAACAGTGAATGTAAACCTAGTGTGGAGCATTAACGGAGATTGAACCCTCCAATGCAAGAGGTGGTGAAAAAGGAGATCATCAAGTGGCTAGATGCGGTAGTGATCTACCCTATTGTAGATAGTAAGTGGGTAAGTCCGGTGCAATGTGTACCGAAAAAAGGAGGTATAATCGTAGTCCCAAATGCAAAAGGAGAACTTGTGCCGACAACACCAGTGACTGGGTGGAAAATATGCATGGACTATCGAAAGCTGAACTCATGGACCGATAAAGTCCATTTTTCAATACCTTTTATAGACCAGATGCTTGACTGGTTATCAGAAAGAGGGTGGTATTGGTTTTTGGATGGGTACTCCGGTTACAATCTCTATTGCACTGGAAGACCAAGAAAAAATCACTTTCACTTGCCCTTATGGAACATTTGCATTCAAAAGAATGCCATTCGGACTATGTTATGCCCCAGCCACATTTCAACGTTGCATGTTGTCTATCTTTGCAGATATGGTTGAAGACTCTATGGAAGAATTTATGGATGACTTTTCAGTCACAGGGGATACGTTTGAAGAGTGGTTAACGCACTTAGGGCAAGTGCTTCAAAGATGCGCGAAAACGAATCTGTACCTAAAATTGGGAGAAATGTAATTTCATGGTGAAAAAAGGTATTGTTCTAGGACACAAGGTATCGCAACAATGGCTAGGAGTTGATAAGGGAAAAATTGAGGTAATTGAGAAAGTGCCCTCTCCAATTTCAATAAAGGGTATTCGCAGCTTCTTGGGGCATACAGGTTTCTACCGAAGGTCCATTAAAGACTTCTCAAAGATTGCACACCCACTATGAAAACTCCTAGAGAAGGAAGTGAAGTTCTATTTTGATGATGCATGTATGGACGCATATAAGTTTTAGAAAGAAAAAATCGTACCTACGCCGATTATTGTCAGTCCTGATCGATCCGAATCTTTCGAAGTAATGTGTGATGTTAGTGGTATGGCATTGGGGGTAGTGTTGAGGAAAAAGCGCAATAAACTATTTCACCCAATTTATTACACAAACAAAACTCTGAATAGTGCCCAACGAAATTATACGGTCATTGAACAAGAGTTGCTAGCACTGGTCTATACATTTGAAAAGTTCCGAGCATACTTGTTAGGCACCAAAGTAATAATACACACTGATCATGCTGCACTTCATTACTTGATGGCGAAGAAAGATGCAAAAATAAGATTGATAAGGTGGGTGCTACTATTACATGAGTTCTATTTTGAGGTAAGAGATTGAAAAGGCTGTGAAAATCAAGTGGCTGACCATTATCGCGGTTGGAAGGAAGGGAAGATGCCGAGCGTGAGGTCAACATAGACGACTCCTTCCCCGACGAACAAGTGTTTGCTATATCTCTCAAACCTACACCATGGTATGCAGATTTTGCAAATTTCATTGTGAGTGGATTGATGCCGGATGAGCTGACCTTTTACCAACAAAAGAGATTCATGTTCGACGTTAAAAAGTACTTTTGGGATGAACCATATTTGTTTCGAGAATGTATTGACCATGTTACTATGAGGTGTGTTCCGGAAGAAGAAGCGGTAGAAATTCTCCATGCTTGCCATGCATCTCCAGTGGGAGGTCACCTTAGTGGTATTCGTAGTGCCGCTAAAATTCTCCAAAGTGGTTATTACTGGCCGTCCTTATACAAGGATGCACATGAATTTACGAAGAAATGCTCTCAATGTTAGTAGCAAGGCGGAGTGTCTAGAAGGCACGAATTGCCTCTCACTTCTATTTTGGAAGTCGAGCTATTCGATGTATGGGGGATCGATTTCATGGGCCCATTTGTGAGCTCATTTGGAAATAAGTATTTCTTGGTGGCTGTAGATTATATTTCCAAATGGATGGAAGCCATCACTCTTCCAAACAATGAAGGAAAAAATGTTGTCCAATTTCTGAAACGCTATATCTTCACAAGATTTGGCACTCCTAGGGAAATCATTAGAGATGGGGTGTCCCATTTTTGCAATAGATGGTTTTCAATGGCACTAAGCAAATATGGGGTGAAACACAAGATGTCAACCCCATATCATCCCCAAATAAGTGGCCAAGTCGAAGTGTCAAATCGGGAAATCAGAAGCATCCTGGCAAAGACAGTAAATGCCAACAGAACTGACTGGTCTAGGAAACTCGATGATGCACTATGGGCATATCGGACCGCTTACAAAACACCTACCGGTATGTCTCCATATCAGTTGGTTTATGGTAAGGCTTATCATTTTCTTGTCTAGTTAGAACACAAAGCATTGTGGGCATTGAAAGCTTTAAATTTGTACTGGTCAAAAACTTCAAGGGAGAGGGTAGAGCAGTTGAACAAACTGGATGAATTTAGACTAAGATCGTATAAAAGTTCAGCCATCTACAAAGAGAAGTTGACGAAATGGCATGATGCTCGGATACTCAAGCGGGATTTCAAGGTAGGAGATTGGGTTTTGTTATACAACTCTCGACTTAGACTCTTTCCTAGAAAGCTCAAATCCAAATGGTCTGGACTTTTTAGAGTAATGCGAGTGTTCACCAATGGTGGCATAAAAGTTGAACATCACGAAGGACTTCCATTTAAAGTGAATAGTCAGCGTCTAAAATTATATTTTGGGGATTGTCAAGAGATTTCTTTGGTTGAAGTGGTGTATTTGGAAGACGCCTGAAGGCGCTGCTGCGTCATGCCGCGACGTTAACTAAGGCGCTGTTTGGGAGGCAATCCAAAACCCCTTTAATTTCTTTTTATTTCTTGGTAAAATAATGGTGTGTTGTTTGTACAGGTTACAGTATGAGAAATGTTTGAAAAAGTGAAGGATGGTGAGCAATAGATCTAGTCAGTGAATCGCCGAAAGGGTCAGCGAATCTGACCTTATCCTTCATTTGACTCAAGACATCTTCAACATTGGAGTCTGTAAAACTTGGCGAGCTTTGGAAATTATTGACAAATCACCGACCATGTCTGCGATCACGATGGAAACCGCCGTTTGGACCCTCAGTAAACCAGAGGTCCAGTAAATTTCAGCGAAGAAACAAACCAGTTGGCGTTCCGCCGAGTGAGTAGGCGAGCTTGACTAATGTCGCCGAGTGGGCAAAAACTGGACGGTTTTTGCAAGCGAAATGTTTAAAAGTTTCCACTTCATTCACTTTCCCTTACTTTTTATCTGTCCAAACTCACACCTGCAATCTAGTTTGTATATTTCTTGTATTTTTAGAGTATTATTAGTGCTGATTTATGCTCGGGATTGGATTACATTGCCGCCTAGTGTTTCAATCTTCTCTTTGTCGACACCAATGACATGACTAAATCAAATGCTGTGGAGAGAATAAAACCTGCCCAAGAGAAGTCAAAAGGGAGTGCGATAAATGAGGAGACAACTACGTCGAAAGGCAAAGCTACGAAACTGACCACAACTACTGGGAAAGGCAAGGGCAAAAGGCACACTTCTGCCAGCAAGACCATTACCCTGGACCCTAATATTCCATCATAGGCCAGGGGATTTTGCAGAGCGGTGCATATCTTTCTTCCAGACACACACTCAATAGACCTTGGTGAATCCGGTACCGGTGTTCCCCTTGAGGTGAATTCGGGTACTGATGCCCATATTCAGAGTACTACATCGGGTATTGAGACCCAGACAGATGGAGCGACTGCTTAGACAGGATCCCTTCTTTACCTTCCTCTTTGTCTTTCTTTATTTTACATTTCAGATTCTGTGTTATTTGAATGTGAGGACCAATTATTTTTATTTATGGTGGGGTGAGGCCCACACCTTTTGTTTGCTACTTTTGTTTGTGTTTTATGTATATATTTGGGTTGTTCTGTTTAAAATTGTGTTAATACTGCTTTTCTGTAGATTTTTAAGCTTGTGGCTCATTTTATTTTAAATTACAAAATGATTTTGACCCTTTCGATTTTTTTTGAATTTTTCGAACATTTTCGCTAGCCTTTGTATGCTCGTGTGTTGAATGTGGCTGTTCCTTGGCAAATTTAAGTCTCAGTTTCGATCAATATCGATGACTTGAATAGTGTTTACAATCAAACTAACATGAATGTACGGCTATAATGAGGCCAAATAAAGTTGCATAGACAATATGTGAACTCTTTGCATCTCGCTGTGATTAGCCATTTATCTAATTGATTCTCTTGTGATGACCGTTGCACACTAGAGAAAGTGTGGAGTCTTGTTTGTTTTAAGTGTCGATGCCTTGTGTGATAAGCTTACCTGGAACCGTGCATGACAACACCTAGAATTTGCCATGTTGGTCCGGTTGACTAAGTAAGACTTTCTCTTGATATGATCTTAGGTAACTTCGAAAAGTGTGAACCAATTTGACATATATCTCTTTTGTGATCTACTTTGTGAGCGTGTGATTCTCTCTTGAACACCCTTTGAGCCTTACCTTTCTTTGAAAGAAACTTGATGAAAACTAGACCTTTCTTAATCCATTACCTATAGTCCTCTTGAATTGTGGTTAATTGAATAGCCAACTTAGGCCAAAAGCCTAAGTTGGGGGTGTGGTGAAAAAGAAAAGGGAAAGTTAAGAAGTGCAAGGAAAGTCTCCTTTAACCCATGGTGTTGAGAAAAATGGAACCCCTCCATATATAAAAAAAAAGAGAAGAAAAGAATTTTAAAAAAAAGAAAAAAAAAGAGAAAGTTGTGGAATAAAGTACCAAAGAAATAGGGTTCCGAACAATTCATGGGAAGCGAATAATAGGATGACCTATGATGCCCTAATGAAAATGATGAAGGAAAAAGAAATGAAGTGTTGAGAGCACCACATTTCATGAGGATAAAAGTCATTGAGCCTAAATGACCATACCTTTGCACTCAACCATGTTAAAAGCCTTGTTAAAACCTTTGTGATGTTGTAGAACTGCTGAACTTGAGTTTTACTTGAGGACAAGCAAAAGTTTAAGTTGGGGGTGTTGATGAGTCTACAAATTGGACTTATTTAGGGGTATATTTTAATAGAAATTGTGTCCTCAAATGCTTATTTTATCTTAATATCTAATGAAAATCCTTAAGTTTTAGGTATTTGAAGTGTTGAAGGAAAGCATGGACACTACATCGTAAAAAGGAATGAAAAGACTGAAAAGAACGAAGAAATGAAGGCTTGAGGATCGCCGAGTCCATTTGGTGAGTCGCCGAAGGGTCTTACTTCGCGTTTTGCTCTAGTGTGCTGAGCCCTGAAGGAAAGGGTCAAGTCGGCAAAAAAAGGGAGTAGTTGGCGCATCGCCGAGAAGTTCCGCGAAGCAGTACCGTGTCACCCAATGAAGAGCACGACGATGCTGAAGCCTGGTGCAAGACGACGATGAACCACACCAAAGGGCAAATCGTCGAGTTGATCGGCGATTCCGACTAACGACATTGAATGATCCGCTGCAACACAAATTTGTGAAAACTATAAATACTAGTTAGATGTGTAGTTTTAGGTGTGGAACAATTGTTATAATTTTCATATAGAAGTTTTTGCTCTAAGTTTGAGAGGGTTTCGGAGACTTGAAGATCCAAAGGGTTCCATCTTCAAGATTTGGATTTGGGTCTCTTGGATTCTTAAATTTTGGCCCGTATCAAGACTTAAATCTTCATACCCAGTTGAATGCGAGCTCAATTTGGTATAAATTTCTATCTCTTAAACATGTGTGGCTAAAAACCCCAATTCTTGGGGTGTGATTTAGTGAATATGGGTTGAGATAATTGTTGTGTCTTGCTTGATGTTAGTTTAATCGTAGTTTAATTATGATTTTGTTTAGTAGTTGTGGATGAATTTAATGAATTTGTAGTTGCAAATACAAATTTCTTTATGTGTTTTTGGCTTGCTCGAGAGAGAGGTCATAAAACTAAAACTACTAAATTGATTGCCGGTGGGAGTGGGTCGACATGAGGTTCAACTCGAGAGAGTGAATCTTAGTCTCATTCCTACACACTCAGCTCGAGAGAGTGAGTGGTTAAGGCGTAGGCTGGTCTTCATGCAGCAAGTGGGTGTCCGAGAGGAACACATTTGAAACGAGGTAAGTTGCTCGAGAGAGAGAGCTTATCCACCTTAAAGCTTAGCCTAATCACAATCATTCTATGAATCTTGTATCGAAAGCATGTACCCAATAATCTAGCTTAACCCGTATTTTTGTCACATCCCAAGGATTCCCTCTCATTACTTAGAAATCCTTGTTTATTTTGCTTTTTTTTTACTTGTGACAAAACCCCCCATTGTTAGTTGACACTCTTGTGTCCCCCTTTAATTTACAATGTTTTTAATCGTTAATGTGTTTAGCTACGACTAGTTAGAACTAAATTTTATTTTTCTATTAATTCTCAAAACCGCTCCCTTGGGATTGATCCCGACCCTTGGTTGGGTTACTAAACTATTGTACAATCGTAGACACTTGCATCGAAAGTTGTGTCTTGATTACGCAAACATCAATTTCAAAGGTAATTGGGATGATCACCTACCTCTTATTGAATTTGCTTACAACAATAGTTACCACTCTAGCATCCAAATGACTCCTTATGAAGCTCTTTATGAGAGAAGATGCATATATCCAATTAGATGGTTTGAAGTTGGTGAAGCTGGGTTGATAGGACCAAGCTTAGGTCATCAAGCTATGGAGAAAGTGAAAGTGATTCAAGATAGGTTGAAAACAGCGCATAGTCATCAGAAATTCTACACTATTGTTAGGAGAAGGGAGTTGGAGTTTGAAGTAGATGATTGGGTATAATTAAAAGTTTCACTCATGAAGGGTGTTATGAGTTTTTGTAAAAAGGGGAAGTTAGTCCCCGGTCTATTGGTCCTTACAGAATATCCAAAAGGATTGACAATGTAGCTTATGAGTTAGAGCTACCACAAGAATTAGCTGCGGTTCATCTGGTATTTCATGTCTGCTTGTTGAAAAAGTGCATGTGAGATCCTTCACTTATCATACCAACTGGGGATATTGGTATCAAAGATAACTTGTCCTATAAGGAGATCCCGATTCAGATTCTAGATCGCTAAGTCCGCAAGTTGAGGACAAAGGAAGTGGCATCAATCAAATTCCTTTGGAATAACCAGTTTGTTGAGGAAGCTACTTGGGAAGCTGAGGAGTATATGAAGAAGATATATCCACATCTCTCTTAGCCCGGAGAAATTACTGACCAAGGTACTAATTCTCTTTTTCGTACTCTTTAATTTATATACTTGATGTGTTAGATTTGATTATTGGGTGTTTTAGCTGAATGTTAGATGTTACACCCTTAGCCTACTATGAATAATCTCATTCAAGGATGAATGTTCCCAAGGAGGAGATATTGTAACATCTCGCTATTTGAAAGGACTAGAAAGAGTTAGAATTGGAAAGAGTCATTTTAGGAAAGAATGAAAAATTTGGAAAATTGGTTTAGTCAAGTTAAGTTTGAGTTTTTGGTCAACTTCAAACAACCATAACTCCTTGCTCAGGATGAGTTAGGTGTGCTTCGAGATACCGTAGGAAATATCTTGGAATTATCTTACCAACGCCGCTGAGTTTGCATGATTCTGAGTTCGTATGAGTGAGATACGCTTATTTGAAGTTGGGTTGTTCAAATAAGGAAAGTCTTATCCCGATTTTGGAAGGGTAGTTTGGTCTTTTCCTTACCCAATTATTTTATTTCTTTTTTAGGGGTTTAATTGGGATTTTATAAGAATTAGATTAGTTTAGAAAATAGGAAATTCACGCTAGGGCTTGGAGAAAGGAGAAAAGAGCAAAAAGAAGAAGAAAAGTCAAGATTCATCGATTTCTTGGAGAATTACGTGTGGATTTCGCCAAGGGTTAATCCCTACGAGGTATGTGAGATCACATAACGTTGGGTTAGTTCACCCACGCGCCAATCATGATTCAATTCAGCGAAGTTGTTTTGTTTTGAAAGCAAATCTTATGAGTTCTTGATGATAATTCGTTTGAAATCTTGTGGTTCTTGTTGTTGAAGTTTGTTGAGATCGATTCATGAATTTAGGTGTGTTTTTGAGTAGAATCTTGTGTATTTTGTACATATAGTCGATTCTAAGTGTTTGGGAAAAGAACCAAGTGAAATTAGAGGGTTTAGCGTTGAAAAACGAAGGAGAAATTTCATCGAAAATCTGGGGAAGGGGCTAGGGTGCCTTGCCTCTCAGCACCCCCCAAAGCAGCCCCTGAAATATGACCTCTGGGGCGCCGCACCAACCAGAGCGCCCTAAGTCATTCTCTGAAATTTCAGGGCTGGCTCCCCGCGCCACTCAGAGCGCTTGGGATGCCAGTTCTCCTAATTTCCCTCTTCTTTCTGTATTAGTTCCTTAGCATCGTACCTATGTTTCCTAGTCAATTTCTATACTCTAAGGTATGTCTAAACATCATGAAATCATCATTAACATGATATCATGAGCCTTGAGTTCATACTTCAATTCAAGGAAAGTTAAGAGTCAAGTCAAAAGGTTAAAAGTTAAGTCAAGTCTGTTCATAAAATTCTCCAAAAGTCTTTCACAAACGTTTTAAATT